AGAAAAAAAGAAAAAGAAAAAAAGAATCACATGGGCTTTCTTTACCTAACACCACATGATTGGTAGCTAAACATGTTTTCAAGTGATATGCTTTATAAATGCAACATAAAATCGTCTTATAATTGCTGAGCTTGAAAATACACATGATGCTATTCCTAATGATATACGCACAACACTGTATGTTTAGTAATAAATTACAGAGTGGCTCAGTCAGGGTGTACAAAAGCTACTGGGCGGGTAATTTATTTTCTCTGCGGTTTTGCTTCTTCATCCTAGAAAAAATTTAAATTAGAGCATATATATATATATATATATATATATATTTAAATTAGAGCATATATATACATATATATGTGTATACATATATATATAAATAACATGGATCAACCTCCTTTAAATTACAGAGTTATCACATTGAAGTCTGATAAAATCAGCATTTCAGTAAAAATAAGTATGGGTTTTTGATAACCCATTATTAGATGAAAATTCAAAACTGTGGTATGAGAAAAATGCAATAAAGGAATAGCATTTATAGAGTACAGTTCCGGGACCAAAGCACTGCATAGGCATGAAACCTATAAAAAAGTGATGTAAGAATGCTTAGATTCCATTTTAGAAAACAGAAACTGGTCCAGCGAACTTAAACATATATCCAAATATCTTATAGCTTACAAATGCTACACAAACAATAGAACATGTGTTTGACTTAGTCATCTTTTTTATGGCAGAGAAATATTGAGTGCAAATTATGTGCCAGACATGTATTCAGAGTTGGATTTTCAGGGAATATAGATTATTTCTGCCCTTATGGAATAGTATCCAGAGATCAGAATGGAAGAGATTAGAAGTAATGCAATCTTGATAGAAGACTTTTTCAATAACTCAGGGATGTTGTGTCTTGGAAGTGAGTATTGGCAGTAGTGTTGAAAAGGAATGTGTCTATTCCAGGGAATGTTGTGAAGTAGAATTTATAATTTTCAATTTCAAGGATGACAGAAAAATAAAGAAACTGAAGGAAAAGAAATAATTGGAATAGGGATTTCATCTCTAAAAATAAGCATATAGAATATTTTCTTTATGCTTATTTTTAGAGATGAAACATAGCAGTCATTAGATAAAACCAGTGACTGATAGCAGAAAAAATAGAAAGATTTCTTGACTAAAGGAAAAATGTCTCATAATAAAGATTATCAGAAAATGGAATTGGCAGCTTTGTGAAAATCCCTGCTGAAGGCATTTAATAAAGTGCTGGATCACCACTCATTCCTTTGTTGTCAAATTCGAGTACCCAGGAGAAGAACTGATCTTCCTGAGTGTATATTCTGTTCCAACTTGGATTTCATGGCTGTTACAGTAAAAATAACTTAAAAGTGTAGAGCCTACCTGATTCTGAAAATGGTGATTTAAATAAAACCTTGACATGTATGATGAGTTAAAAACAAACAAGCAAGAAAGAAAAACCCCACTTTTTTGGACTGCATGTTTGGTGATAGAAGGGTCAGATGTTGGGCATGCAGTGAGAAGGGGTTAGTTTGGATTAGACACCTATAGTATTAGAAGACTACTTATAGATGTATAGCTATCAATCACGGTTTCTAGACCTCATTACTCTTTGTTGCTGGGGACTACTCGATGCCTTGTAGGACTAGCTACTTTCCTGATTTACTTGATGCCAGTAATGCCAGTAACTTCTCCCCCTCTCCCAACTTGTGACAATTGAAAATGCCTACAAACATTATTCAGTGTCTCCAAGAAGGCAAAACCATCCATCATTGAGAACCACTGATATGGATGTGCACTAGCTCCATTGTGTCTATTTTACTTGTCGTGTGGAAGGAAACGAGCACTAAAGTAAGGGCAGTAAAAAGGTAGGGTGCTACTAAGAGGAACTAAGATTATTTTGTGGGGGATCCGCTTTATTTGTGTAGATGCTTGATCCTGGGACAAAAACCACATGTGATCTAACTGAAAACTTTAAGTCCCCTAGTCAACATCTTTCCTATGGCATGGGCCAAGTTAGTATTTGTGGAATTCAACTAAGTTACTCAATGGGTGCCTAGAAAGCAAAGCAACCAGCAAAATGTTTAAGTACATATTATAATTTGAAAACTAAAACTGGAGATAAGGAAAACTACTGCAGAAAAAGCACGGATTCTTTGCATTTTACTTAGAAGAGAGAGAGAGAGCAGGTAAATGGATCTGTGGTTCTCTTCTTTGGATTAAACATGAAGTTCTAACACTTCAGGAATAGACTTTAGAAATACAAAGATACAGGAAAGCTAGGGAGCAATATTAACTAAGATGTCAAGGCACTAGGAGCCCTGACGTGGTTTTCTTCTCTCTCTACATCTAGGTTTGCTTAAGAACCAGTCAGCTTCACTTTGTAAACATTCTCCTAAATGAAGTTCATAGTGTTTCAGTGTAAGTTCTTCTGGTACAGTCATGTGAACAGTAGTGGAAAAGGAAGCCAAGAGCAGAAGCTTGCATATTTACTTGATTCCCACAGGACCACACTGCACAAAGAATATTATTGGCAGCTGTGTATCCCATGGAAGAACTAAGGAGATAGGAAAATCTCAGGTCCAGGCAAGCTGCTCAGTTCAGCATGGCATCTCATTTCTGCTAAGTTCTGTATCTTTCTTATAATACCAATAGCAGGAGCAGGTGTCTGTGTGATCACGTCCCACTAATCTAACTCACCTGGATTATAAATGTCATTATAAATGTCTGAAGAACGCTGATAAATGACATGGAATTCTAGTCTTAATCTGTATTATGGATGTGATAAATGTTTCAATCCTTTAGGGATAGGAATACAAAGTTGAAGTTTATTGAAAAAATTTTCCCCATGAATCCTTTGCTTATCTAAGTACTTTTAGCACACAAGATGGATATTCTGTATCCTTCAAGTAGAGAGATAAATTGCTTCCTCATGGAATTTTTCAACTTAGGTAATGGATGGTAACATATATATAGTTTTATACATGAATACACACCTATATACATAAGTAACAGGTCCAAGCACTAATTACACGTATCCTCTTGCAGAATCACTATGGTCTTGTTAGGACCATAAAGATAAGGTTTTTTAAAAATTAGAGAAAATAAAGAAAGATGCCATACACATCAGAAAATTTTGGAATGTCATAGAAATTTTATGGTTGAACTCTCTTTCCTGAATTCTGACCATGTTTTAAGCCTCAGTAAAAAAAAAAATTTCCACGTAGGCATCAATATCATTTGCTACAGTCATAGCTCTCAGTAGTGGCTTCTATCTGGGTCTAGTCTTTGACTTCCATTGACCCGTAAGTTCCTCTTACGTAAAATGTGGATTGAATCCCAGGTTTGCCTGGAATTTCTAATATGAAGGGTATAGTCTCTTTCCTCAAGAATATCATGCTTTCATTAGTAAACAAGATAAAATTTCAACAAAGCATGACAAATCTATTACATTTATCTGCATATAGGGGCAAAGAAAGATCTACTTTGAAGCAGAATTTATAGTTTTGAATTCAAGGATCAAAAAAGAAAGAAACTGAAGGAAAAGAAAAAATTGAAACAGATTTATTTTTCTTTATGCTTTTTTTAGGGATGAAACATAGCAGAGTGATCAGATGAGACAAGTGACTGATAGCAGAAGAAAAGAGAAAGATTTCTTAACTGTAGGAAAATTGTAATCTGCAGCAGCAATGAGGAAAGCCATCCTGAAGAAATTGATTCCAGATCTGAGTTTTGATGTATAAATAGGAGGGTTTTTTTTAGTTGGTAATTGACGGTGATGAGAAAAATACTAATGGCAGAAAAAAATGGTATTCATTTTCCTCTTTAATACCTTGAAAAGGTAAATGTGATAGAGAGGATTATTGGGAAGAAAGAGGGTACCTTGTGTTTAAAATACAAGGAATGTGAAGTTGAACATTTTTGTTCACAATGAACATTTTTATAGAAGATTGAGACACTCCTATCTCCTGTGGCTATACCTGTGGCTGTGGGTAACTGAGAATTTTAAAGGAGTAGCATGAAATGCATCTATGGAAAGGGGACAAAATTTATTTTTATGCTACTTTATGTCATAGTGTTAGGTGTTTAAGGTGGGCTTTTGCTGTCAGCAACCTAAAATTGTCCACTTTCCTTTAGCTTCTGAAGTAAATGTTAAGGAATAGTCATGAAAGGAGAAGAAAAATGATTTATTAAATTCTAGGAATGTACCCGTATTTCATCATGCAAAACTTTGATGAAATCTGTATTGGAGGAAAGAACTGAGTTTCTGGTTGAATGATTTTTTTTTTTTTTTTTTTTTTTTTTTGCTTCCTTATCCAAATTAAGCTGGTTAGGTTTTAAAAGGCTCCTCAATGACAATTACTTGTATAGCTTAAGAAATGGGAGTAAAAGGAGGGCTTCTCTGCCTCACCAGGGGCTTGGTTTGCCTGGTATATGGAAGGAAAATGTAAGAAGCGCTTGCAGATAGCACACAGTGTAGCTTTGAATGATCAGATGTGAATATGTTTCTTGGGATTTGAGGGAGGTTGGACAAGGGGTAAGCATGAAGGTGCAGGGTGAGTTGAAGAAAGAAGCCTGCCAAGAAGTTGTAATGACTCAGGCCAGGAGATAGGAGCGTCTCCTTCTCTGTGGGTAGAGGTAGACGTTTTAGGAGAAAAGAGAGAGAGAGAAACTCCTAAATTTTGTTATCATCCCTCTAAAACTTGTTAGTTAAGATATATATTTACTGATAGGGAGATTCTGAAAATTGATATCAGCTTTACATTCAGGCACATGATTTGGCAGAGTGGATTAAAACGATCCTCCTCAAATGAAACCAGAGTCTCCAACATAATTGGCTCATTTTAAGCAAAACATTATTGATGGTCAACAGTGACTGGCACGTAATAATTGTTTAAATATTTGTTGGCTAAGTCAGGGAATAAATGATATGCTTTAGCAATTACTGACGGTATATAAAGGTCTCAGGGAAGTAGAAGACATCCACACCTCAGAAGCATCTTCTTGAAACTCATTTGAATTCTCTCCTCTTGACAACATGTGTTGCAAGTACTACCGCAACTCCTGTGGCTGCGGCTGTGGCTATGGCTCCAGCTATGGCTGTGGCTATGGAACTGGCTATGGAACTGGCTACGGCTGTGGATTTGGCTCCTGTTATGGCTGTGGCTATGGAACTGGCTATGGAACTGGCTACGGCTGTGGATTTGGCTCCCGTTATGGCTGTGGCTATGGAACTGGCTATGGCTGTGGGTATGGCTGTGGATTTGGCTCCCATTATGGCTGTGGCTATGGAAGTGGCTATGGCTGTGGGTATGGCTGTGGATTTGGCTCCCGTTATGGCTGTGGCTATGGAACTGGCTATGGCTGTGGATATGGTTCTTGCTCTAGCTGTGGATACGGATCTGGCTCTGGCTACTGTGGCTACCGGCCATTTTACTTTAGAAGATGCTATTCTTCTTGCTGCTAAAGCATCACTATCAGAGGACCATTTGCTTCTAAAATGACTCTCTAAAGATAATGCTGATTCAAGGATTAATACTCCAAGATTCCTGTATCCAAGACATTACATGCTTGAGAGAGTCTTGGGCCTCTAGCCTCATGTTTCTTTGACTGAAAGTCATGGCCATAAGATCCATGATATAATCTGACTGTTTTCCCAAATGTTATCGTTTGCTCCCTTAATCTGATTCTCTGTTGTGACTGTGTTAATGATCAGAACATCTACAGTTGGGGAAGTCAATCATTTGCAATAAAAATGGTTCTTTGTTTCTAAAAATCTTTGTGTACTTGCTTGTGAATTATTCCTTTCTTGGGGTGTTTTGGCATCTCTTGAAATTTGGGCTAACAGTATGCTGGCTGAACCTGAGGTACTTCCTTGATATCATGCAATTATTTCTTCTTATACTTGCATCATAAATAATGTCTTCTCTACCTGCTTCTCATATGCAACATGCTCAGGCTCTCAAATCCCCAAGCACAAATCACAGAGTATTTCAGAGCCATGCTTTGGAAATGGCACTGAGTGTCTAGAATGGAGCTGAAGGGAAAAAAGGAAGAGAAGTGACATCTATTAGGATGTTATGACAAAAGTCTCAGAGAGGATATGTAGGCTGAGTGTTTAATGAAGTAATGCAATCGAAGAGATCATTTCCGGGATTGTTGAAAAATCTGAATCAGACTCAGGTGTTAGGCATGAGGAATCAAAACCTAAGAAAAGGATAAGTTAGAAGAAAAAATATACTATCAAATTTATCTACATCTGATGAAAGTACAAATATATTTGCTTGCTTACATGGAGGTTGAGAAATGTTATTTAATTCACTTAACAAATATTATTGAGTAGGTGTCTCCTAGACACTGAAGACACAGAAGAAAAATTATAGACAAATGTCCTGCTGTCAGAGTGTTTACAGCCTAATAGATGAAGATTTTAAAAAGCAAAAACAGGTTGGGTGCCATGGCTCACACATGTTAATCCCTGTGCTTTGGGAGGCCAAGGTGGGTAGATCACTTTAGGTCAGGAGTTTGAGACCAGTATGGCCACCATGCTGAAACCCCATCTCTACTAAAAACACAAAAATTAGCCAGGCATGGTGGTGGATGCCTGTAATTCCAGCTACTTGGCAGGCTGAGGCATGAGAATCACTTGAACCTGGGAGGCAGAGGTTGCAGTGAGCCGAGTACGCGCCGTTGTAATCTAGCCTGGGAAACAAGAGTGAAACTTCATCTTCAAAAATAAAACAAACAAACACAAATAAAAATAAAAAAGCAAAAATTTATTATTATAAATTAGGACAGATAATTGCTATAGAGGGAATAAAACAGGTTAATGGATAGGACATTAAAGTTTGAAGTACTGGAGAGACAGCTCTGGGAAGTATTTTGAAGTTTTGACATTTGAGCTCATAATAAGACATTTCCAGCAGCAAAGAAAGACTAAAAAGGACAGTAGCACGTGCCAAGGTGGAGAGAAGTTCATTAAGTTTGGGTATGATGAGGGTGATGACACATTTTTCAGTTAGAAAAGAGCAAGGTTTAGTATCTTAATGGAGTTCTTTTCAGATTGTGATAAATATAAAAATGGGATTAAAGGGCCTGTTCTGGTTTCCTGGATGACTTTCTGATGTGGACTGCTTACTGTTTTGGGTTCTGATTTTAGTGTCCTTACCTCTAGTTCTAGATCATCCAAACTCTATCATTTAAATCTTACAACAGAGAATGTCTTCAGGATTCAATAGAAACATGTCACAATTAGCAGTAATAAACCTGTCCCCGTTTCATTCATACAACAGGGATTATTACATCAGGTCTGACTCTCTGAGGTTCCTGGCGCTGGGTGACCTTACAAAATGTCTGGCTCCAAGAAAGGTATCCCTATAATCAAAATCAACCCAGGAGTAAGGCTATGTCCAGGATAGAATCTGTCCAACTGATGGACTGTTGGGGTTTCTTCCAAGAGCAAGCTAGCTTTTTTACATCTGGAATATTTGTGAGTCAGATCTGAGGACGAAATGCATTCTCTGGAACTCTACTCTGAAGTTATTATAGTATTGTAAGCAGTGGATAACACTTCACATATCTTCAAAATCTGAAATGTGATTCTCTCAGTTTAGGAAAAATTTGAGACATTCAGCTTGTGTGAAATGAGAAAATTATGATAATGTTAACAGAAACAGGAAAAAATTAGAGAAGTGTGTGTGTGTGTGTGTGTGTGTGTGTGTGTGCGTGCACGTGCGCGTACACACATGTAGGTGTGGCCTGTTTGGTGGAGGTTGGGAAAAATGAATATTTGAATTCACTTATGTAATCACATTATGGAGGAAAGGAAAAACGATTCATATTTCACAATACTTTCTGTGGTCAGAAAATGATTTAAGCTTTAAAAACTCCTTTATAAAGAAATACAAAAGTCTTTATTTTGGGATACATTATTACATATTGTGGAGGCTTTAAACTGTAAAATCTATATTGTAAGATTTGTTCTTTGAGTCATTTAACAAACCTTAAGATTTATGTTTCAGTTATGTGCTGTGATTTGTGCTGAGATAGAGAGATAAAACATGTAGTCCATTCTAAGAATTCAAAATCTTCGGCTGGACCCAAAATCTTAATCATACATAGCAGGTGTGCTTGCAGGTATTATGGCATTACCAAGAAGAGCTCAAGGGTGAAACTTAAATCAGAATGAGGAAAGAGAAAGCTTGACAAGGGTAAGAAATGGCTTCCAAAGGAGAATGATAGGAACAGAGCCATAAAGGATGAGGTAGATTTGGTCAGTTACAAGAGACAGAAACTGGAATTCAAGGCCTAGACATTCAAGGAAAGAAGAAAACAAACTGTCAGTTTATCGAAAGAGTAGGAGACTCTATTGGGAACTTTTTTTTTTTGGAAAAAAGAAAGGAAAAAAGAAAAAGAAGGAAAGAAAGGAAGAGAGAAAGAAAGAAAAGAAAGAGAAAGAAAAAAGAATGAAAAAGAGAAAGAAAGAGGAAGAGAAAGAGGGAGAGAGAATGGGAGTCTTGCTTTAATGGGAGTCTAAAAATGGGTATTAAAAACCTCTTTTATGCCAATAATTGTGCTTAACAATGGAGACAGGAAGGAATGAAAGAGGAAAATAACCAACAAGCAGCCCACCAATATTTCATTTAAACCTGTGACATACTATGCAATTACTGAGGAGTGATTTACTTCCAATTATGTAGTCACTTTTAGAGTAGGTCTGATGTGGTACTGAGAAGAATGCATGTTTTGTGGATTTGGGGTGGGGAGTTTTGTAAATGTTTATTAAGTTTACTTGTGCCAGGTCTGAGTCAAGTCCTGGATATCTTTGTTAATTTTCTGTCTCATTGATCTGACTAATATTGACAATGTGATGTTACACTGAGAACTTTTAATCAGTGTCCGCTGGCATAAAAGAATTATCAGGTCTCTTGGGTGAGCTCCACTGTCTGATATGGTGCCACTAGCCAGATGGGACTGTTGAGTGCTCAGAATGGGGATAGTCCAAAATGAAATGTGCTGTAAGTGTAAAATACACAGTAGACATCAAAAGAATGAAAGTATCAAATACAATTTATTTATTGTATGGTTTTTTTTTCTTTTTTTATTGCATTTTAGGTTTTGGGGTACATGTGAAGGACATGCAAGATTGTTGCATAGGTACACACATGGCAGTGTGGTTTGCTGCCTTCCTTCCCCTCACCTGTATCTGTCATTTCTACCCATGCTATCTCTTCCCACCTCCCCACGCCCCCATCCCTCCCCCATTTCCCCCCGACGGACCCCAGTGCTTAGTGCTCCCCTCCCTGTGTCCATGTGTTTTCATTGTTCAACACCCGCCTATGAGTGAGAACATGCAGTGTTTGATTTTCTGCTCCTGTGTCAGTTTGCTGAGAATGATGGTCTCCAGGTTCATCCATGTCCCTACAAAGGACACGAATTCATCATTTTTGATGGCTGCATAATATTCCGTGGTGTACATGTGCCACATTTTCCCTATCCAGTCTATCATGGATGGGCATTTGGGTTGGTTCCAGGTCTTTGCTATTGTAAACAGTGCTGCAATGAACATTCGTGTGCATGTGTAATATTTTGAGACATTAGGGTGAGTAGAATATGGTATAAATTAATTCACCTGTTTCTTTTTATCTTTTTAAAATGTGGACATTGGAGCATTTAAATTGCTCAATGTTAACATATATCTATTGTAGAGAGTTGTCCTAGAGGGCCAGTTATAACAAACTGGCCATGTAAGGACACTGGCTAGAAAGAGAAGTCATGTTATGTCACTAGCAAAGATGAGGAAGTCTAACCATGCTATCCAGGTATGAGGAGTAGATCAGTCTGAGGCAATAGGACCACAGTTGCCAGTGCTGCAGACTTCAGGGGAGGAGAAAAGTCTCCCGTATAGACAAATTTTTCTTCTGGAAAAGTTTATTTAGTAAATGTGTGCTATAGTTTGTTTTGTGCTGCTACAACAGAATGTCTGAGACTGGGTAATTTATAATAAACAGAAATTTATTAGCTCATAGTTCCGGTGGCTGGAAAATCCAGTATCAAAGTGGCGAGGGACTTCCTCCTGCATCAAAACATGGCAGAAGGCATCACATGGTGAAAGACCAAGAGAGGGCAAGAGAGAGAAAGAGCAAGACTGGGTGAACCCATTCCCACGATAACAGACTTGCTCCTGTGATAATGGTGTTAGCCTATATATGAGCGTAGAGCCTTTGTGTCTGAAACTCTTTATAATGGTCCTAACTCCAAATACCTTCACAATGGCAATTAAATTCCAACATGAGTTTTGAAGGGGCAAACATTTAAACCGTATCAATGGGATTGATCAATGTCCCATCTGTTTAGATACAAAGATATAAATACCTACCTCACACCATATGCATAAGAAATTCCACACTGATTAAAGTTCTGCACATGAAAATCAAATTATGAAAGTGCTAGAATACGGTACAGCGTTTTTAGGAATTTTGCAAGCCAGTTGTTAAACTATTGGTAAGTTGAAAGCAGTCATGCTTGGAAATATTTACATCATGAAAATCGGCAAATCAGAAACTACCACTCCCAATCTCAGCTGCGATCATTAAACAATTGATAGCATACCACTGTCCATATTCCCACAGTCGCTGGGAAGAAATCTATTTTTTGAATGTTTTACAACAGTTATATATGATTTATGGGACTGCAGAAAAGAGATATCTATAGAAATCAATGAAAAGTAATTGTATCAATATTGTTTATTTTATGTTCAGAAATCTCTAGCATCTCTTTTAAGTTGATATTCAGATTCGATACATGACACATGGTCTTTAGCTCTTCTCTCCTCTGCAAGACATCACTTCCTCACAGTAATCCAAATAATCACACTTCTAAAAACAAAATTGTATAGCAATTAAGAGAGTAGATTCCAGAGTCATATTACATTACTACTGCTCTAGCATAGGCTTCATCACTTATTAGCTATGTGATCGCGAACACATTATTCAGCTCCTTTGATCCTCAGTGTACGAAAGGTAAAATGATAAAATAGTGTTACTTCAGAACTGTTGAGAGTATCAGATTAAAGAAAGCATGCCAGCTGTACCACTGTGAAAACTCAATAAATTTTTATTGTATTTATTATTAGGTTGTTATGTAGCTAACGTTCAACCATTTTTAGCATGAAATGATTATTTCATATGACTTACTCCCATTCTTCAGGTTGTCTGTTTACTTTGTTGATTATTTCTTTTGCTGTGCAGAAGCTTGTTAGTTTAATTAAGCTCCATTTATCTATTTTTGTTTTTGTTGCATACTTTTGAAGTATTAGTCTTGAATTCTTTTCCTTGACCAATATTCAGAAAAAGTTTCCCCTAGGCTTTCTTCTAATATTTTTCTTGTTTCAGGTCTTATATTGAAGTCTTTAATACATCTCGAGTTGATTTTTGTATATGATGAGAGATGGGGTCCAGTTTTGCTCGTCTGCATATAGCAATCCAGTTTTCCCAGCATCATTTATTGAAGAGGATGTCCTTTCTCCAGTGTATGTTCTTGTTGACTTAGTCGAAGAACAGCTGGTTGTAAATATATGGCTTTATTGATGGGTTCTCTCTTCTGTTCTGTTGATCTAAGTTTCTATATTTATACCACTACCATACTGTTTTGGTTACTATATTCTTGTATATACACACACACACACGTATATATATATATATATATATATGTATATATATATATATATATATATACACACACACACATATATATATACACACACACACATACACATTACATACATATAAAATACTATATATATATATATAAAATATAGTATCTACAGTAAGTTTTGATAAAGGAATTTGGTAAAATTTTTTGGTAAAGTTTTTAGGTTTTTCTTTATATAAGATCATATCATCAGCAAATAGAATACTCAACATTGCTAACCACCACAGAAATGCAAATTAAAATGACAAATGAGGTATAATCTTATATCATTCAAAATGGCTATTAGTGAAATGACAAAAAATAAGATGGTGAGGAGATAGAGAAAATTATAAAGGGAAATTTAAATATTAATTATTATTATTTTTCTCATATAACATCCTCTAAATTAAAATAAAAAAATCTACAGCTGGAAGAAAGCTCATAGGCTTTCATTTAAGTTAGTGAGTGCCCCTAGGTTGTTAGATTCACAGAAAATAAAGACAAAGTTATTGACCTTAAATAACTGAGAATTATCTGAGGGAACCAGATAAACAAAATGAGAGTATGCCGGTATAACATATTGAGAACCTTAATAGAATTGGGCAAATGGATCCCTGGAAGAATGTTGGAGTGATGCTTAATGCATATTGTGAATGTGCAGGAAGCTTTTATGGGAGATACAGCCTAAACTGTGCTTTGAAGGATCAGTAGGATTTTGGCAGGTAAAAATTGGAAGTCAGTAGCAAAGACATGAAATCAACTTAAATTGTCCATCAGTGGTAGACTGGACAAAGAAAATGTGGTACAAATGAAATATGAAACATTAAGTAGCCATAAACAAGAACAAGATTATGTCCCTTGTAGAAACATGGATGTAGCTGAAGCTATCATCCTTAGCAGTAAACTAATGAAGGAACAGAAAACCAAATACTGGAAGTTCTCACTTATAAGTGGAAGCTAAATGATGAGAACACACAGACACAAAGAAGGAAGCAACACGTGCAGGGGTCTGCTTGAAGGGGGAGGGTGGGAGGAGGGAGAGAATCAGAAAAAATAACTCTTGGGTACTAGGCTTAGTACCTGTGTGATGAAATTATCTGTACAACAAACTCCCGAGACATGAGTTTACCTATATAACAAACCTGCACATTTACCCCTAACCTAAAATAAAAGTTAAAAAAAATTTAGTGAAGTGGGCAAGATGTTTCAAAGAAAGTAACACATTGAAAAGTTCCAAGAAATCTTAGGGTGGATTATGGTGCATTGGAAAAAATCCTGTTGCTTTTATTTTACTATATTGTATCTGACCTCTGTTTTACATCACTTCAGATTTTTGCCTCAACTGTCTCTTGCTCTAGCCAGCACTGCAGTGGCCATCCTGCACAGGCTCCATCTACTTTCTTGCAAGTGTTACTTAAGAATGCCTCGTTTTGTGGCTTTGCTGTTTGCTTCTCCCCTCTGGTCTGGAGATTTCTTGTTCATTATTGAGATAGGAAATGCTAGGACATATCCCAGTGCCCAAGTATGTGTGTACCTGGAAATACAGGAGAGATAATGGCCTCTGGAGTAAAAAAAATCTAAATTAGGTTTGATTACATTCCACAAGGCATGTTTGTTCCACATGTGGGTTACAGCTGTTTTCTTACAATTCTTATGACTGGCTAGGGGCAAATCCTGGACATAATTACCTGATACACTCATTGTCCTTAGAATAATGAGCTTTTCAAAAATGAAAATTGCTGTGGTAAGGAGGCCACAGAGTCTGTGTTGTGTGCTCCACCCACTTCTGGTGGTATATAAAGGTCTCAGGGCAGACGATGACATTCAGACTTCAGAATCACACCCCTGCTTCTCTACGGAACTACTAAACACCCATCTCTAGACACCATGTGTTGCAACTACTACAGAAACTCATGTGGTAGCTATGGCTACGGCTGTGGCTATGGCTGTGGCTCTGGCTCTGGCTGCAGATACGGCTCTGGCTATGGTTGTGGCTGTGGCTATGGTTGTGGCTATGGCTCTGGCTATGGATGTGGATATGGCTCTGGCTATGGCTGTGGATACGGCTCTGGCTACGGCTGTGGATACGGCTCTGGCTATGGCTGTGGCTCTGGCTATGGCTGTGGCTATGGCTGTGGATATGGCTCTGGCTATGGCTCTAGCTGCTATGGCTACCAGCCATTTTGCTATAGAAGATGTTATTCTTGCTGCTAGGAAATAACTGCCATGCATCTTGTCTTCTAAAATGACAATTTTAAGGCCATTTATGTTTCAATATCCTACAATTCCACCAAATTCCACTGAATAGAGAGTAGTCAGAGCCCGAAGAAAACAGATTGTCTTTTGAAATCCTGCTTGCTATTGTGAGGGCCTGAGGTGCTCCATGATGTTTCTGGAAGACAGAAGACCTAACTCTGGCCATGGTCCAAATATAAACCTACTACTTTCTTATTTTAGGTTTCCATATTGTGACTATTTCCAAATAAACAAGTTTCATTGGTCCTAACAAGTTTTTCTATTTTTTTCTTGTTTCAGACATGCTATTGACTAACATTTTTGTCTTGTATTTCTATGACCTCTTCAGAGACTGGGTGGGCTAATTCTAAGCTGCTCACTCTAATTGTGCTTTCCATTCTGCTTGGTCAGTGCCTGCGACATACTAGATGTCACATATTTTAAATATCATCCCTGAATAAATGGCTTCTTGTTGGCCGAGTCTTGTGTTCTTAATTCATTTTAATTAAGACTTTGTTCTTAAGCACTTGTGTTTCATGACTCTGGATGTATCTATTTTTTTCCGTGTTAATCAGCAATAATGCACTATGGACACATACACACGCTGAATGCCACAGAAAACCTGCTTCAGGAAAATGCTTATAACACAAAAATGGGTTGGAATGGAAGAGACAGATGGCTCAAAAGGTAAATGTAATAATGATTAGGAGACTAGTTAAAGTGGTCTGCATTTCAGTGTAGGTAATGAAAAATAACAGACGAGCATCAGAGACTTGGTGAAGGTAGAACCCGTAAGATCTTAGACTTCAATAGGGAAAGAGAACGGAGAGACATCTAGGGAAGCAAATATCTAAAACGTCTGTATTTCTCCTTAGCACCTAGAATTGTGGGGAATTTGGGGTGGTATGTATAGTTATATATCTTCAAGACTGTTGTTGCAAATTAGTAATACTAGTTTTGCAGATGTGCCCTATATCTTTGTTGAGAAACTAATTAGATTACATGTATAACAACAGCATAAATTCCTCAACACAGGATCTCTTTTTAATATGTGACACCATCTGAAACAAGAATTACTTCCTCACTAGGCACTCTATTACTGGATGTGTTTAAATCCAGGTTGGCTCTCTCACTTTGCAGTGAGCCGAGATTGCGCCATTGCACTCCAGCCTGGGTAACAAGAGCGAAACTCCGTCTCAAAAAAAAAAAAAAAAAAATTATTCTAGGAGGAAGTTACAAAGTCAGAGAGAGGTATGGAATTAACTGATCTTATGTATTTATTTTTAGCCCCATCCTATCCTAGGATACTATAGAAATTGATTTAAGCTTTGAAGCCTGATTGTGAATATGGTGATGCTGATATAAAAAAAAATACAGAATGAGAACTTTTATGTTTCTATATCTGGAAGGAGGGGCCAATTGTAATATGTCTGGCTGCAGAAATCCAATATTCATTTGGGATATAAAAAGACAGTCAGAACTGGAGTCAAGATTCAGCCATCCATGGTCAAATAAATTCTGTGTTACTAGACACCCCTGAATCTTGAAAGAAACTGAAGTCTTGAGAAGTAGGACAAAAGGGCATGGATGAATAGATTGTTTTCTCGAAGATGTAGAACCACTTCTTAATTAGATAACTGTGAAGTCTCATTCATCAATATTTATTGTGCTCCTAATAAAACACATTTTATTATATACTATGAAGAGTGAGGTAAAATATTTCATCCTTGCTTTTCAAATGTGTAAGAAAGGCGTAAAAGACCACAGGCTACAAAGATCAGAGTATTGCTATAAAATAGTTACACACAGAAGTATTTGAGAAGTACAGGGGAAGAAATCAGAAGGAGGGCCAGGATTAAGAAAAAGTAGAAAGAAGGAGGCCGGGCGCGGTGGCTCAAGCCTGTAATCCCAGCACTTTGGGAGGCCGAGGCGGGTGGATCATGAGGTCGAGAGATCGAGACCATCCTGGTCAACATGGTGAAACCCCGTCTCTACTAAAAATACAAAAAATTAGCTGGGCATGGTGGCGTGTGCCTGTAATCCCAGCTACTCAGGAGGCTGAGGCAAGAGAATTGCCTGAACCCAGGAGGTGGAAGTTGCGGTGAGCCAAGATCGCGCCATTGCACTACAGCCTGGGGTAACAAGAGTGGAACTCCATCTCAAAAAAAAAAAAAAAAAAAAAAAAAGAAAAGAAAAAAGGATGAGGAATCTTTCTGAAAAAGAGACAAATTTCTAGCTGAAATATGAAGGATGAATAGAAGTTGATCAATCATAGAAGAAATATCCTTCTAGGCAGGGAAGAAAAAAATAAATATTTAATGGTTAAAATGTACATATTTGAGTGATGAATACAATAAAAACCTAGACTTTACAACTACACAATACATCTATGTAACAAAATTGCACTTGTACCCTTTAAGTTTATGCAAATGAAAAAAGGTCATATATGGGAATGTTATTGCTATAGCCATCATCTCTCTTGAAAGATATGTAATCACAGTTGAGCCAAAAAGAAAAAAAATCGCAGCTGTGAGTAATCGCTATTCTCAGATGGCCCCCAATAACCTGTACCTTTGTGTGGTTTACTCTCCTTGAATGTGGGAAGGACTGGTAACTTGTTTCTAATCTTAGTGAAGATGGTGGGCTATCCCTTCTGTGATTACATTATGTTTAGGTTTGACAGATAAAACACAAAATAAACCAATGTGAATTTCATATTAAAATATATATCCTTTTTAGTATAAGTGTGTTTCATGCAATATCTGGGGCATAGTTATAGAATCTGGCAACTAAAGCTATGTGGCAAAGAAAATTTGCAGATGTCCTGGCTGACACCTTAATTACGATAATGTGAGAGACCTTGAGGCAAGATCCCAGAAGGTTGTGCTTAGACTTCTCATCTATGAAAACCGAGATAATAATGGATATTGTTTTAAGATGCTATTTTGGTGATGATTTGTTATGCAGTAATAGAAACCTATTACCACAGACTTCTTCTGTTCTCTGTGTTACCTCATAAGATGTGTGGTTGTCTTGGATAACCAGGATAACATATCTGCACAACAGCAGAGATTAGGAAGCCAGCCATTTTAATGAACTTCAAGGACAGATTATTTTCAAGTGAAAATGAAAAGGTGAGAGGCACTATCAGCCATATTTGGTGGGACTGCCCTCAGCACAAAACATTTAAATAAATTTTATCGATGATCCCAAGTGACGCTGACAAAAATAAGAGACCTTAAAGTATATGGGGTATTTTATAACAGAGTAATTATACAGTGGAGTAGATAACCACACAAAATAATGAGATCCCTGTTACAATAAGTATTTAAGTATTCGATGATCAGGAAGTGAGATTTTATGCAGCATAGCACAGAAGAATACATACTTGTGTTTTATATGTGCCTTTAGTAAGTTTCATAACTTTTTTGTACTTCAGTATCTATAGTATGATACCTACTTCTTTCATGTTTTAATTCCAATTAAAATAAAAATATTCAAAGGAATTTAAAATTTATAAAACATTCAACAGCTGTTATCATAAAGGATATTCATTTGTTGTTGTTCTAGTTTGAACTAAATAAACATCTAGAGTTGATAAATATTTGTTAAGGAATTTCTCCAGGAGTGAATATATGTTATCAGAATATTATATTTGTGGCTATTTGAATTCATAGGAACTCTAACATGAAATATTGAGGAGTTTCTGTATATGGCAGCATTGGGTTCCAGTGACATCACCTACAAAATAATTAGTAATTAGCAAGCTAGTCAAAATAATTGGTCAAACTTGTTTTAATGATTGCATTTTTAAACATCAACCGCCCAATCCTCCATAGAGCCTGGATATATAAAATGTATCTTTGGAGTCATGTGTTCAGATGACTGGCTAATGGATAGAAATGGTTCTTAGAGATTTGTAATTGGCTCAAGACAATGCCTGGATGACAAAAAAATGGATCCTCAATAAAACTGGAAAATCTATAATAATGTGTTTATTTAAGGCATACACTATAGCTATGAAAATATCAGGCCCTCTCAGTATCAACTGAGTGGGCTGAGTTTTCACATACTAGGTATTAAACATTTTTTACATGGGGAGAAATGACAGATACAGGTGAGGGGAAGGAAGGCAGCAAACCACACTGCCATGTGTGTACCTATGCAACGATCTTGCATGTTCTTCACATGTACCCCCAAACCTAAAATGCAATTTAAAAAAACCATTTTTTACGTGAATAATGATATTGATGGTATGTCCTGGCTCTTTCTGTTAGGATGTAAAGGTTCTAGGGTTGTATGTTACATTCAAACTTCAGAAAAATCCTTCTGTACCTCCACTGAAATCTCACCTTCTAGCACCATGAGTTTCAACTACTATGGGAATGCCTAGGGAGACTGTGGATATGATTCCAGATATGGATATGGGTCTGTTTCTGATTGTAGCTGCTGTATCTACCAACCATTTTGCTAGAGAAGATGCTACTCCTCTTGCTACTAGAACATCATCCTAGAACCTAAAATTGAAATATTTTAAGATTAATACTTCTTCCCAGAGGATATCCCATTTTATCATCTCTACATTCATGTAAGGATTGGATATTATCTCTGTTTACTTCAACAAATCTATTTATTATTGAGAAGATATGAATGATCTCATTATGTTACCTGGAGACAGAAGATTTTATTCTAATTATATTCAAAATGTAAATTATTGGTTCTTCTATTTTTTGGTTTTGCATGTTCCATAAACATAAATACTTCATAGTTGGAAAAAATTGTACTTTTTTCATAAACAAATTTAACTTATTTTTGTAAAAATTTGTGGGGTTTTTTTGTGCTACACTCATCACTACTTTAGTGTTTGTGTTTTCCCTGAAATTTCAGGCAAGCAGTGTATTAGTGGATCCTTGGATTTACTTATTCCTTCAACAATTATTTATTGCTAATTCTTTCATCAATATCACATAGTTTTGTTTTTGTAGTATTGTAGTAACTCGATATTAGGTAGTGTGAGGCTTTCAACTTTGATTTCTTTTCAAAATTATTTTGACGGTGAGTACAAAATTAGTTAGACAGAATAAATTTTGGTGTTCCATTGCCCAAAAGAGTGACTATAGCAAGAAACTGTATTATATATTTCAAGATAGGTAGAAAGACTTTGAATGTCATCACTATAAAGAAATGATAAAGTTTAAAATGATGGATATGGTAATTATCCTGATCTGATCATTGTACTCTGTATATGTGCATTGAAACATCACATTTTACATCGTAAATATGTAAAATTATGTGTCAATTACAAATTAAATAAAATATGTTGTCTGTTCTAGTTACTTTGACTTTGCAGCTAAACATTCAAGTCAGCTTGTCAATAGCTATAAATATATCCTGCTTAGATTTTGATAGGGATAGAGTCAAATTCATAGATCATTTCTGGGAGAATGAACGTCTTAACAATATTGAGTCCAATCCATAAATATGGTATTGATATATCTCTGTATGTATGTATTTCAGAATAAATTTTGGTGTTCTGTTGCACAGTAGAGTGACTATAGCAAATGACAATGTGTTGTATATTTCAAGATAGGTAGAAATATTTTGAATGTTATAACTGTAAATAAATGATAAAGTTTGGGGCTGGGCACAATGGCTCACCAGCACTTTGGGAGGCCAAGGTGGGCAGATCATAAGGTCAGGACATTGAGACTATCCTGGCTAACAAAGTAAAACCCTGTCTCCACTAAAAAAAAATAAAAATAAAAAATAAAAATAAAAATAAAAATAAAAAAATTAGCCAGGAGTGGCGGTACAGGCTATAGTACCAGCTACTCAGGGGGCTGAGGCAGGGGAATTGCCTGAATCTGAGAAGCAGAGATTGCACTAAGCCAAGATTGAACCACTGTACTCCAGCCTGGGTGACAGAGCAAGACTCCATCTCAAAAAAAAAAAAAAAACAAAAAAAAAAAAACCAAAATGAAGCCGTGAGAATGCTTAGAAGAAGGGTGTACCTCATACCAAGCACTTTGTGCTGAAGACAAGAAAATATACTAATTTTTCCATGTATTTAATGATTTTTATATAGAAGATAGATTAAAATTAGTCTCTTGGTTCCAGGAGCCAGAATTAGATAAACATATTTGAATTACAAAAAGGCAGACTTGTTATGTAATACGTTGACAGTTTTCTAAATGTAAGAGCCAAACAGTGAGATTTGGTGCTTGCTGGAAGGGGTTGTTCAGCTCTGTGTGCGTTTGAGTGTGGGATAACTTACTATTTATTCTGGTTTTTATGAGGTAACTAAGACATACAGGAACTGGATAAACCTAACAGAACCTTAATACTTCTTCCTACTGTAACTTTTGAAAATGTTGATTCTGAAATTTAAATAGTGACTATAAAGTGTAGAGCCAAAGTCACTGAAAAAAGTGGTAATGTTCTTAAAAACAACTGAAAAGGGGTGAGAGAAAGAACTTTTTATAGGTTTGGAAGTTGACCAGAGATGATGAGCATATTTTGAATATGATAGCTGAGGTGAGGTAATAACCATATTAGCAAAGTAAGGCAGGTTTTTTTTTTTTTTTTTTTTTTTTTTTTTTGATTTTGTGAAGTATCTGCAGAGGCTTAAACCTAAAGAGGATGCAGGAGATACGATGGGGTCTTCTGGATATACAATCATGTCAGGAGATAAAATATTTCATGTTATCCAAAAGCTGCATCAGAGACTTTATCGTGGACATACTAAAGAGGAATCAGAGAAACAAATATGCATACAAGGGTCTAAAGTTACATGGAATCTCCCCACACAGGATGGTGAGAGCTTTCGGTTGTACAGAAACTACTAACAAAAGGACATTTGTATAATAAAATGAGATTGTTAAATACAGGAAGCCAAGAGCTCCTACAAGCTGAAAACATTCAAGAGAGGTTACTAATTTATCACTGGAGAAAATTATAGGTTGCATGTTGGATCAGGAAAACTTGGAAAATGTGATTTCCATTTGGACTCTACCTTTCTGTGCCTGAGTCTCCTCCTTTGTTAAAACGATGTTCATCATTCCTAGTTTGGTGGTTTCACAGGATGATGTTAAGTCTCGAATACAGATATCTGAGAAGGAAATATTTTTCACAGAAAAAGCATTCACAGGTGGAGAAAACCATCTTCTGTATGGAATTGGATAAAATCACATTCTGATTCAGATTAAATTGACATTGAAGGGAAAAGAGGGTAAAGAGGGGAAATGTATATTTGCTATCATGTGATGCTCACAGAACTTTTCAAGTTGACCTCATGAATCAGGAGGGCTCTTTCATAATGACACGTTACTCATCTCTTCCAAAACCTTCATCTGCATTATGGTCACACTTCCAAACAGAGATCGACTTCACTTTCACATAGCAATCCTATGACTATCTGGGAATGCAGAAACTTACTTTCTCCCTATTTAATACACAGGCAAGTTCCAAAGTTAGGTGTTGGTCAATTCAATAAATTTTCATGGTTATGAGATTTAAAATATGTGATGAAGCGAAGCCCTGTGACGTGTTGCTTGATGTTATATTTTTACAAAACATTATTGTATAAAATGCTTCAGGCAAGGTAAACTTAGGTCAATTACATGGAAGTTCATTTTCTGAGAGCATCTGGTCACTTTTGAAAGTTTATTATAAAAACATTAATTGACATATGTATATTTATACATATGTATATCACAGATTTTAAAGCTAGCAAAATTAAAATTCAAATCTCAAAATTTCAGTATAATAAACAGATCAATAGAAGCATATACAGAAATTTGAAAAGCTATTACTATTTAGGAATGTTTTATTTGGGTAAAAGAAAAGGGGAAAAAGAAAATATGTTGTCTCCACTATGTATCAGGATTATTGCTGCTCTATATTTCCTATATATTTTCTGTAGGCCTCTTGATAAAATTTTAAATAAATGTGATTATTTTTATTCCCATTTAGCAGTTGCAGAAACTGATGTTCATCTAAGTTCAGGACATTTTCTGTGGTCATATAATTAGGAAACCACTCAGTCAGGAAATTAATGGGGTAGCAGAGAAGATTTGAAGATTTGCTAGTGTGTAAAGTGAGAAGCAGAGATGGAGGGTGAAGTAAACACCAGAACCCCAGAATTTAGGAAAAAGAGCGTTCTCAATGAAGAGAACTCATGAATTATGAATTCATTTATCATAGAAACAATGGGAGAAGATAAAGTTAAAAACAGAATGAACAAGAAATTTATGGAAAGGTCAACACTTATTAATGTCATAATGTAAAATATCAAAAAAGTTTCTTACACATAAAAATCATTATTAAAATTTTGTTTTGAAGAATAGAAATGTGACTAAAATCAAGATAATACTGTGGAATGATTAAATCAAGCCAATTAAGTACAGTATCTCACATATTTATACATATTTTTGTGGTGAAACATTTAAAATATACTTTCAGTAATTTAAAAATATGATGCATTATTAATTATTATAGTCAGCAATCTGTGCCAGAGACTACTAAATCCGATTTCTACTAAAATTTTGTACCCTTTGAGCAACATTTCCCCATTCCCCATCCGCTCCACTAGAAGGAGTTATAAATTATTGATTGATTACATTTTTAGTGGGAAGCACTGGTATATAGAACAAACATGAGAGTACTCTGAAATGAGGTATGTTTAAGAGTTGGACCCTACAGTTGGATTTCAACAACAGAGAAGCTGTGAACCAAAGATTTACTCTCATTCTAAATTAACATTCTTGGAAAGTTTGTTTTTAAAATAATAAATGATACATCTTCTTACATAACTGATCTGTCACAAGTTTAAAAACATTTTTTCCTTCAAAGAAGGAAGAGAAGATCATAACCTGCATGGAGAAGGGGATGGAATACCTTTTTTTTTTTCCAGAGATAAGTAGAGGATTTCAGAGAGTGGAGGTAGCACATGGATATACCTAATTGCCTGCCCAAAATCCCTGAAAAGAATTTGAAGTGTTTGTGATTAAAAACCCAAAGTGTTGAGAAAGGATAAGAATAAATGATATCAAGAGCAGTGAATAGAACTTCTGATTTAATAGATGACTCCCAAGGTCTTACAAGAGCAGAATGGTAAACATACATTTATAGGTCAAACTGGTGATGTGTTATGTCATAACCATGAGTGAAATTATGGCAAATAAAATTATGGTTGTATAAACTTGCATGTTTGGACCTTGTATGTTTGTTTTCTTTTTGGGGATGAAAATATTCCTAGGGAAGCTATAAGCAAATTATAAATTCCTAAGAAAGTAGATGTACACAGAAGAAGCTCATTTTAGGCAATTGACTGTAAAATGAGCAGATAGAGCCCATGTGAGGATGACCCATGCATTCCTGGAAGTATATAAAGGTCTTGGAAGAGTAGAAGACACTCACACTTCAGAGACATCCTCCTACACCTTCACTGAAATCTCACCTCCTGACACCATGTGTTGCAACTACTACGGAAACTCCTCTGGGGGCTGTGGGTACAGCTCTGGCTGGGGTTCTGGCTGTGGCTCTGGCTATGGCTGCGGGTATGGCTCTGGCTGTGGCTATGGCTGCGGCTATGGCTCTGGCTATGGAGCCGGCTGTGGCTATGGCTGTGGATACAGCTCTGGCTGTGGCTATGGCTGTGGCTATGGCTCTGGATATGGAACAGGCTGTGACTATGGCTCTGGCTGTGGATATGGCTGTGGATACAGCTCTGGCTGCTGTGGCTACCGACCATTTTGCTACAGAAGATGCGATTCCTCTTGCTGCTAATCATCACTACAGATCATCCTTACCTTTGCAGTGACCATTCCAAGAGCAAATTCAGTTTAAAATTTCCCTAACCACTATCTTCACATCTAAGTAAAGATTGACTGTGGTCCATTGACCATCTGAATGCATATAAGAGAAGCTGTTTGCAGTGGATGGAGACTGAGTAGTTACATCACATCACTGAAGAGAGGAGATCTATTCTGATTAATTTTCAAATGTAAAACTCTCACATCTTTTTCTTCATTTTTGTGCCATGACTATTTGCAGAAATGTAAGAGGGGTATATAATTGGAGCATACTAAAATGGAACAAAAATAGAATTTTCTTAATAAAAGGCTTTACTCACTAAGAAGTCTGGTCTCCTTAATGTCTCCTTAATTTGAGGGTTTGTTGCTTCCTTAAAAGTCGTGTGACTACAACTTAAAATAGGAAAATGTTATTTTGTTTGCTGAATCCAAATACTGATGTTTTACATATTTCTTAATTCTTTGTATGTTAATTCTTTACATTTTTATTTAAACAAGAACACAAATATTAAGCTCAAAATTTTAAAACATGCATGAAAAAGAATTGGAATAGAGTCAAGAATGAGACAGGGGGCTGGGCGCGGTGGCTTAAGCCTGTAATACCAGCACTTTGGGAGGGCGAGGAGAGTGGATCACCAGGTCAAGAGATTGAGACCATCCTGGTCAACATGGTGAAACCCCGTCTCTACTAAAAATACTAAAAATTAGCTGGGCATGGTGATGCGTGCCTGTAATCCCAACTACTCAGGAGCTCAGGAGGCTGAGGCAGGAGAATTGCTTGAACCCAGGAGGTGGAGGTTGCGGTGAGCCGAGATCGCCCATTGCACTCCAGCCTGGGTAACAAGAGCGAAACTCCGTCTCAAAAAAAAAAAAAAAAAAAAAAAAGTACGGGGAACTACTTATACTACTTATACAGGTTAATATACTAAGGTTAATATCCTAGTCCAGCAATGACTGTCTCGGTTGAGCTTAAGTCAAGGTAATTAAGAGGCAACACTATTAATTTAATGTTAATAGATTTTGAATATGTAAAACAAGAAATCTTGGACTAAGCAGATAAGGTTACTACAAGTGCTCAAGATGGTGAGAAAGATCAGGGCTCTTTCACTTTCCCGCTCCCCACTCTGCTGTGTGACATTCATACTCATTGTTTTAAAGTGATTGCTGTATATGACCATCATTCTACACAAGTAAGGACAAATGATAAAGAGCACTAGGTCTTTTACAACTTTGTTCTTGGCCGGGCGCGGTGGCTCACGCCTGTAATCCCAGCACTTTGGGAGGCCGAGGCGGGTGGATCACCAGGTCAAGAGATTGAGACCATCCTGGTCAACATGGTGAAACCCCATCTCTACTAAAAATACAAAAATTAGCTGGGCATGGTGGCACGTGCCTGTAATCCCAGCTACTCAGGAGGCTGAGGCAGGAGAATTGCCTGAACCCAGGAGGCGGAGGTTGCGGTGAGCCGAGATCGCGCCATTGCACTCCAGCCTGGGTACCAAGAGCGAAACTCCGTCTCAAAACAAACAAACAAAACAAAACAAAAACAAAAAATACCTTTGTTCTTTTATTTGGGAGGGGATACTCTTTGTTGTTTGGACACATGTGTACTGAGACCACTCTTAGCTGAAAGTCTGTAAAAAACAAAAAGTTTGTGGTCAGCAGTTCTGCTAGTCAGTCAACTGTGTGCGTCCAAAGTTTGTAGGTCTTGGGGAAAAAGAGAAAAGGACCAATGACTGAGAAAGCAAAATCTCAGTTAAATGGCCATATGTTCTTGCAGCAATTTGAATTTGGGCAGGGGTGCAATTTATGACTTTACTATTTTTTTCTTCAAGTGTAGAGGTCTGAGCTTAAAATAGTCTCTTATTTATATGATATTGCTGTTTGTCCACACATGGCTCTTTTTCTTTTCTTTTTAACATAGTAATTTATTTATTCTCTCCTGTTTCTCTTTTATTTCCATTCTCGCACCCATCTCTCATTTAGAGTCACCTTGTAATTTGTTATTTTATATGCAAATACCCCATTGCATCCTGTCTATAGCCCCCAAAAGTTGGCCATTCTACTACATATTTTATATCTATTTAAATTATATTATTGCATATAGTTTTAAAACTCCTTTTCTTTTAGCACAATTTGTATTGAATGATTTATTTCACCTAAAAATGTAAAGCAAATATTTATACACTTAAAGAGAGATTTATAATACAATAATAGTAAAGGGCTTTGATGCCTCACTTTCAACAATAAACAGATTATTCAGACAGAAAATAGGTAAGTAACCATTAGATCTGAACTGCAGTTTAGAGCAAATGGACCTAATAGACATATATAGGACATTTTATTCAACAACAGCAGAAGACAATTCTTCTCAAAACACAGGAAAATGCTTCAAAACAAGTATTAACATACTTAAGAAGATTATTTTTTTTTGGTTTTGAAATTTGTTTCAAAACAAGTCTTAACATATTTAAGAAGACTGTGATTATATTAAGTATCTTTTCCCACTAAATGGTTTGAATCAACAAATCAATAATGGAAGGAATTTTGGAAAATGTAAAAATATATGAAAACTAAATAACATAATCATAAACAACAAATGGGTCAAGAAAGAAAAAAGAAAGGAAAACAAGATATCTTGAAACAAATGAAAATAAAAGCACAACATATCAAAACTTTGGGTTGCAGCAAAGGCAGATTTAAGAGGAAACTTTGTAACAATAAATGCTCACAGTGACAAAGAAGACAGATCTTAAATAAACAAACTAATTTAACACTCTGAGGGAAAAAATGGAATAAACTAAGAAAGAACAAAAAGCGGAGCAAGCAAAATCTTAGGTAAATTAATATATGTCCTTACATCAACTTTAATTAGGGCAGGTACACAATTGATGTCTTCACCAATTTTTTTTCTTATCATGTAGAGGTTTAATATACTCCCCTATTCATACAGTGTTATTGTTTGTCCACACATGGGTCTTTATGTGTTTTAAGATTTTGGTAACATAATAATTTATTTATTTGCTTCTATTTCTTTTTGACTTCCACTCTCATCTCTCATTTACAGCCATATTGCATTTTATCTCATATGCAAGCATCCCTATTCATGTTTTCAAAGTCCCAAGAAAGTTGGTCTTTTTATTATATATTTTAAATCTATGTAAGTTGTGTTATATCTTTTGAAAACTTTTTCTCCCTCAGCACTATTTGTGTTGAAAGACTCATTAATGCTACTATGCATAGATTTAAACTATTATTTCTGATTGTTCGTTGGTACTTTATGTGGTTCATACACAAGATTTTGTTCATTCAGTGTTTCAGTGATGCACACTTAGTCACACCCAAGATAAATTGTTTTTTCTGTGAAAAAAAAAATGCAAAGATTCCAGGCTTGATGGTGCACACCTGTAGTCCTAGCTATTCAAGAGGCTGAGGTGGGAGGATTGCTTGAGCCTGGGAGGTTGAGGCTGTAGTGAGTCACGATTTCATCATTGCACACCAGCCTGAATGACAGAGTAAGATCCTGTCTCAAAAAAAAAAAAACCAAAAATCAAACCAAACCAAACCAAAACAAAAAACAAAGAAACATTTTCTAAAGGCTAGAATACTGTGAAAATGGAATAGGCTGCCTTGTAGGCATTTCTATCCTGAGGCCGTTGAAGAATTTGCATCTTCGGTTACTAGAAAACTCTGAATAAATAAGTGCATTCAAAACTTGGGTTTAATTAATTCATTCACATCATTCACTTTTACTTTGTAATTTAATGATTCTGTAATAAAAAATAATTGAAGGTTGGGTCAGGGCAACATGAATAAGAATAATGTTACCCGAAAAGTCGGAAAAAATTGTGCTCGATTCTATTGTAGAGTTAGGAAGGAGTATGTTACGTTCAAGGTGAGCTTTGAAGCATCTACCTACTGTTAGCGTCAGTATTTCTGAATTTCTGGGATCTGTACAGAAGATGTGACTCAAAGCAGGGAAAGGAGGAATGAGATCAGTAAAGTCGCTGCAGAGGAACTCATAAATGTGTTTAGAGATTAATGCAATAATAAATACGGTCTATTTCAGTTCTTGAAGGGATATAGGGACCTATTCACAGTAAGATGCTGAAAGATTATGAGATATATGGTAATAGTTCAGCTGTCCTGGGAAACAGTCAACTCATTCTGGTAACTCTTCAAGGACAGTTGAGGTGATAATCATTTGTCAGGCTTATGTGCTGAATGGTATATTTCCTTGCTGTTTATTCCTTTTAGTTCTTTGGTTTAGTAACACAATTGCTCCTTAAGTCAGTTTTCTTACATATAACATGTGGATAAAATACCTTCTCAAAGTTTTTGGGAGGTTTGTATTTCAGAATATTTCCAAAGGCAATTTGCATAATGTGAATTTTTGTAAGAACTCTTCATTATGACAAATTTCTTTGCTCTATGGGAGGCTGCAAATGGAAAGCAGTAATCAGTTTTAAGAGACTAATTAATACATTTATGCACAGGATTCTCTAAGACACATTCCCTGTAATTAGTGATAGATGTTTTATAATTAACATTTACATTTGCTTAAATCTCCAGATGTAACATTAAAAATTCTTAATATAAGCAAAATAGCCATACTCTCCAACATGACATCTTTTCCTATGTTGCTAATCTTTTCAGTGATATCAAAATTTGAAATAAGGATCTCAACGGTTTTCCATTTAAAACCATAGAATATTTTCCAAACAAATGTTTTCAAGTAGCAGATATACACTTTCCATGATTGTGGAATTGAATATATGCTATGATTACAAGTCCAGTGAATTGATGCAGTGGTCTCAGCAATAATTTATTGTATAAAATGCTTTCATGACATTGCAGTTAGTTTAATATTAAGACAATTTTCTCAGGATTTGTATTTGTTTGTTTTCATTAATGTTCAATTAATAGGAATTGAGCAAACGAATGGAGTACATATTATCACACAAGTTTTTAGTTGATGCTCAATTAGTTGAAGAACATTTCTTATGTTTGCAGTTCGTAAATGGTGGAACCAGGATTCTCACCCAGGTCTCTATAATTTCAAAAGATTTTCTACTTTATAAACATTTGTAGGCCAGAGTGTTGGCTCATGCCAGTAATCCCAGCACTTTGGGAGGCCAAGGTGGGTGGATCAAATGAGGTCAGGAGTTTGAGACCAGCCTGACCAACATC